CTTCTGTACTTATGCAAGTAAAACTGTAAGATAAATATTAGTTTAGTTATTGCCACTCACATTTTTATTCCCATCTGTGTGTGTGTGCGTGTGTGTGCACCCTTATGTTTGTGTGGCTGCAATGTTGTCAAAATAAATCTCATGAGCCAGGTGTATTTGAGTGAAACTTGCAAAAAGTACTGGTTGGTCATACATTTGATTGAAGGGCAGCACAATTCAAGATGGCTGCCACAACCAACTTGAATTAAAGACATAAAGAGCCATTTATTTATTTRTTTATTCAAAGTCAAGTCAAAGTTATATATATGCATCTCTTGGGAGAAAGTTTGCTTGGTTTTTAAAGGGCACTGCTGCATAAACTAAACCAAAGCATTTAATACAGTAATACAATAATGAATAGAATAACAATAAACAACATGACTGTAATAAACAATTCAAGCCAGTTTGCGAAAGTGAAACCTTTAAAAGGCTGAAAAATTTAGCCAGGCATAAATTACTGAATCGGAAAAGGGTGGATTGCTCTCTCCAGGTTGGGGGTGAAGTTCTGCCTCAAGTGGAGGAGTTCACGTTTGGGGTCTTTTTCACAAGTGAGGGAAGAATGGAGCGTGAGATTGATAGACGGATCGGTGCAGCTTCCTCAGTTTTGTGGGCTCTGTACTGGTTTGTTGTGGTGAAGAGGGAGCTGAGCTGTGAGACAAAGCTCTCTGTTTACCGATCAGTCTACGTTCCTACCCTCACATGGTCACGAACTTTGGGTATTGACCGAAAGAAGAAGATTGCGGATACAAGTAGTTGAAATGAGTTTCCTCTGCAGTGTAGCTGGAATCTCCCTTAGAGATAGGATAAGATGTTCAGTTATCTGGGAGAGACTCAGCCGCTTGCTCCTCCACATCGAGAGGAGCCAGTTGAGGTGGTTTGGGAATCTAGTAAGGATGCCTCCTGGACGCCTCTCTAGGGAGGTGCTTCAGGCATGTCCAACTGGGAGGAGATCTCGAGGAAGACCCAGGACACGCTGAAGAGACTACGTCTCTCGGCTGGCCTGGGAATGCCTTGGAGTCCTCTGAGAAGAGCTGGAAGAGGTGGCTGGGGAAAGAGAGGTCTGGCTTTCCTTGCTCAAGCGCTGCCCCTGCGACCCGACTTTGGATAAAGTGGAAGATAATGGATAAATTACTGAGTACTAGCTCTGTTTTTTTCTATTTCATTAATAACCTTGCTTGATAGCGATGAATGAGTGTTTGTCATATCAAGACAGGATGTAGGATGTATTCTGTGTGTAGGACATGGAAGCTGTCATTTAATTTATGTTTTGCCTGTGAAATAACTGCCTGGTTAAAGAGCTATCCATCCCCACTTATTCCTTTCAGGGTCACGGGGGTCACTGCTGCCCATGTCCAGCAGTCATATTACAAGGGGTGGGGTACACCCTGGACAGGTCGCAAGTCCATCACAGGGCCACACATAGAGACAAACGAGACAAACAACCATTCACTCTCACCTAGGGACAATTTAGAGTTACCAATTAACCTAACAGTCATGTTTTTGGTGTGTGGGAGGAAGCCGGAGTACCCGGAGAGAACCAACACATGCACGGAGAGAACATGCAAACTCTACCCAGAAAAGTTCCCAGGCCGGGATTTGAACCGGTGACCTTCTTGCTGAGAGGCATCAGCTCTACCAACTGAGCCACCGTGCCACCGGCTAAAGAGCCATTGCTGGGAAATTTGAGCRGAAGTACCTAAAACTGATCCCTTACACAGCAGGGCCGAGCGCAAATCGTGACACCGCACCTCATACTGGCACTTCCGGATTTGCGCCTGCTGTCTCTCCCCTTACATTTTGTTAGTGCTTCCAGTTTGTACCCTGACTTTGTTTTAAAATATGCCATCAGTTGTTTAAATCAAATAATTTATTTACAGTCAGTGCYGTCTGTCTGTTCGCAATATCCCTCGTGAACCATAAACTTGAATAAAACTTGCAGTAGTCAAATCATTGGTAGAATTTTTACAACTTTGTCATCTACATTCAAGATGGCCACAGCTAAGTGAAATTAGCCAACACACACAACAAAAAAGCTATAACTCAGTCAGCTTACCAAATGTTCCAAAATTAGCTGCTGATTGTAGATGGGAGTCATTCCTAACACCGATTTTTAAGGTTTGACCAAAGCAGCAACCACCTTTGTCATTCCGCAACCCAAGTTTATCTTGGTCGAAACTTCTGACATGATTCAGTCCAGGAATGCTACCCCTTTAATTTAAATAAGAAGCATTACAAGCAGATTGTTCTCCTGATGCTCTTTTGCAACACACATCTGTGTAAAGGGGACACTTTTTTGTTTGACGGTTCCTCCCTGAAAGATTTATAGACTGTGGGTTCAGCAGAAATTTCCGCCTCTCACCTGCAGCTGATGCCAGAATTCAAATTTAAGATGAAATATGTTTCCTTCTGTCAGCGCATTCCTTCAGAGAATTTTAGAGCTGCTGATTCAGATCTACAATTTGGTTTAAATGACAGTTTAATATTACAATTGGCAGTCCCGGGCGGAATCCGTCTTGACAGCATATAGATAAAAAAAGGGTGAAAACAGATGACTGCACATCCAAATAATATGTAATAACAATGTTAGTTTGGATAAGGGAAGCCAAATCTAGATTTAAATGCAATATTCATTTGAGCAATATGAACGACTTGGGAGTAAAGGTTAAAATAACGAAAGGGGGAAAAAAAACAYCAGGAAGAAAACCTTCATATCGCAGTAGTCTTTTCTCATCCCTGAGGCTAAGGCCTGGCTAAAACCTAATGTACAGCAATTATTTGCTGTAATGACTGCAGTTCAAATAAGCCTGGAGATTTTATTAAACCAAATGAGAGAACCACTGATGTATTATCACTTCGTGATTGACAGTGACAAGTGTTGGCCAGGCTCGGATGTGAGCATGATGAAGAAGCTCTYGGCAAAGCTCTTGATAATGTTACCCCTGATAAAGTTGCCTGGAAAACCTCAGCCAACATAAGGAGAGAGAAAGCTCCTCGCATATTAATTCCAACTGTCAGATCCCTCCAGTGGAGGGAGGAAGAGAAGAAGGAGGAGGCGGGBGGGTGGGGAGGAGGAGGAGGAGGAGGCGGGGGTGGTGGGTACCTAGTCTGGCAGGCAGCCCCGACTGCCCCTCCATTCACTGACTGCCTGGGATTTTACACAACTAATGAAAAAGAAATCCATTGTGCTGATCATATGCAAAGATTTCTCTTTATAATAATGATGGAACGGAAAGATTCGTAATAAAAGTAAAGGTCACTCGCTGCCGCAGCTAAGCTTTCTAAAGCTGCAACCTTTGCGAGAGCAGTTGTCAGGTTCCAGTGATAAAATCAAAAGAAGGAAGAGATGCCAAGTTTTAACCTAACAGAGGTCAAGAGGTGAGAAACTGCACCCCAGCTTTTTTTAAAATAAAAATATAGATATGTTTTACTTTGATCACGCGTTTTTCCTCTTTCCAACACCAAACAGCACAGATGTCTATTCAAAAGCGGAGCCATCATTCTCCTCAGCGTGCCGTGGTGAAGG